CTGGGATGCTCAATCCCTTTGTTAAGTGAGAGCTCTTGCCCTTTTTGCTTGTGGTGGGGGGGGTACGTAAACACAGTGCAATGCAGTGTGGTGCAGCTACCAGATCAGCCTCTGAATGCTGCTTTGCCTAGACAGTCCACCTAAACCGTGTCACCCGTGGACCTTGAAGCAGGATAGTCACATTGTTGTAGCACAGTCCTGGTTGGGATCCATCCTGCTTAATGCAGAATTTCATCGGCGAGAGTTCTGCACCCGCTCAGACGCTCCCAGGACCTGACTTAGTATTACTGTGCTGTGCCACGGAGATAAAACAGCTTTTTCAGAGTTAACACCTGTGTCTCTACTTTCCTGTAGGTACTTGTTTTGACTTGATCTGTAATATATGCCCTTGGTTCCTATTGCTTCTCCATCTGTTTTCAGAAGAGCAAAAAATCTAGTATCCTTAAACACTCAAGCATAACTTAAAGGTATCACTGGGAAAGTTGCAGTTACTCTAAGGGAGGGAAGAAACAAAGCAAGGGTGTTGACAGTGTTCTGATAATACAGAATATGTTTAACTGTGAGTTCATTTTTCTCAAGGGGTCAGGGATTTTATTAGGTCTAGTCACAATCAAAAAATAATAGATTTCTGGGGGATAGCAGGCATCCAGAGAAATCAAGAAACTGTGATCTCTGTAATGATTAAAAATTTCCTTTAGAAACCTGTTAGAAACTTTTATTTATAAAATAATTATATTGTTAGAAATTTTTCCTTATAATGATATTGTTAGCTTTAGAGTGCAGATGTAACCTGGAGTCAATTATGTATTTTGTAAATGTATGTGATTAACTGTTCAGCAGCTCTCACCAAAAAAAGAAAAAAAAAAAAAAGGGGGGGGGGGAAATGAAATCAGCAAATTTGTACAAAACCGTGATCCAAGATTTAAAAGAAGTACTTAACTGAAAATAAACAGATGTCTGGGATGGCTTGCAGGAGTGTCCCCTCCATAATAGATCAATTTGTTTTTCTTATCTTTCAGTGTTGTTGGAATGATTTCTTTTGCCATCATTTTTCCTTCTTTATGCCTCCCTAATAGAGAGCTTTGTTCTATTCATTATATGTTCTTAAGGAAAAAGATTATGCAGTTCAATGGCAGGCTGATGTAGATTGGGAAATAGTCTATTAGAATTGTCGTAAAGCAAAAGGTACAGTATTTTTTGCACATACGTAAAAAAATAAAGTAGGTACTTACCTATGTATATTCATTCCCATCTAAGGAGGATTAATGTTTCTGGGCTTTTTATATTTATATAACTTAAGGAAGCTTAACATACATTTACAGAAACTATCCAGATAAATTATTAGGAGACGTATTAACATTGTGGTTGCACTTCTTAGCTTCAGTGAGAAAACAAGCACTCCTTTCCTGATGGTTCCACATTTATCAGGTTTGACAACTTCGCAACCATTTTTTTATGGTTTTCTTCTCTGGAAGTCTTCTAGTGCTCTGCATCTTATAGGAAACCATTTGACTCTACGGAAAGTCCCTCTCCTAATTTGTTGTAGCTGAATTCTATCTTAATCTGCTGGAACAGTGGGTAAACAAACTTGTTTTATTTTCATCTGCTTTGTAAATCACACCATGAGACTGCTGCATTCTTGAATCTGACCCCAGGGACTCCAGTTGCAATATCCTCACATCTTTGTCAGCATCTCACTGCTCCCCCTTGGAATATTCTAACACTACAAATGGTATCACATATCCTTGGCTACTGGATACATAAAAATCAACAGTATTTAGTTTTGTTCCAATTTAGATAACAAAATCCTCTTTTCCCAAGGAATTAAGACATCACAGTCTTTCCCTGTGCCTGGGAAACGAGGTAGCAGCTGGAATGCTGGAGTCAGCGTTTCATTACACACGATTGAATAGCATCAGACCTCCAGAGATTTCTTAGCTGACCTTCAAAACACAAAGTCTGGCTTCCAGCAAACTTAAAGTAAACATGTTTCTCTAGGGATTAGGATCAAAGCACAAAAAATATTCTACTTAACTATGTAGTGCTCATACCTTTATTTATTTATTGGAGCAAGAGTAAGTGGTGCTGGGGGAGACAAGATTCACTTTTTTTGTTGCATTGTCTAATGGTAAAAGTAGTTCACAAAGGTTACCCAGACCTTTGCCAAGAGACTTGCAAAAATCATGATTCCTTTTCATACCATCCTTGCTTCATTCCCAAATATGGTTTTATATGATCATGGTCAAACCCTGAAGACTTTTTCTGAAGCAAAGCCTTGGGTGACTTGAGCACTTTACTAAAGGAGCAGCTCAAGAACACCTCCAGGCTTTGACTCTGGTCTTGGATGTACTCTTTTAATGTTCTCAGGCAACCACTCTCATCTGTAAAACATCAGTAATGGCACTTTGTTCCCATATCCATATAGGTTTTTAGGAAGATAACTACATTATGAAGTCAGAAGTTCTGGAGTATTACAATAGCAGGTCTTGTATGTGTATATAACCCAGGTTTCCTGGAACAGATTGGCTTCCTGGGAAGGAAAAGAAAAATTTCAAGAAAAGCACTTTTCAAATAAAATTTTTGGGTGTGCAGAGTTTTGAGTAACTTGAAAACCTATTACCATTCATTAGAATGAAAAAAAGAGAGATGTGTCTGCAGATATCTGAAGCTATTTGTTGGTGATCTTTGTACAACAAAAAGCACTGCAAGCAACAGATAAGCTCTTCACAAATTCCCTGTTAAGATTTTCCTGTTGCCACTTTTAGGCTGAGATGCAGCTGTGTTAGGAAGCTGGGGTTCTGACTCAGCGGGGAGAAAATCAGGAAGGTAGTCTACTGAGGGTTATCCTCAGAGGCAGTTTGTAATTCTAACTCTCACAAAAAAAAAAAAAAAAAAAAAAAGGAATGAAAATTCCTCTGAAACACAGTTTCAAACCTGTCCTATGACTTTGAACATGGAGCCCAGCTAACCACAAACATTTGATTGTCTCCCCAGCCACCAATTTATGCTGCTTCCCCAATACAGAAAGTGAGCAAAATTTGACCTTGATTTTGGTGATGACTATGTAGTGATTGTGCACTGAATTACTGTGCTGTGTCTGGGTTTTATATCTCATGTGTAAATGTACGAGCTGATGGATGTAATTTTCTCATATACATGTATTCATACATTTCATATTCAAATCTCTGTTTGATCTTAAGTCAATGGGAGCCCAGGTTCAAGCACTATTATACTATTATTCCAAAGATATCACAAAAAACACATCTGTAATATTTTTAAGCAAGCATGTTTCCCACTGATCTGAGTTACAGATTATTTGATTTCTTTACTGTCTTGGCTAACAAAGATTTAGGGCAGTCAGAAATAGAGTAAATCAACTCAAAAGGTTTTCAATTTACAGGAACAAGCAGCTTTCCATAGCTTGTGCCAAATGAACAAACCGTTACTTTTGGTCTGAGATAAGCGTTATAGCCTCTCTCCCTGCCGCCTTCTCACTGCCTTGCCCTTACCCCTCCAGGAATAGATTAATAAATGCCTGACCTTGTGCACTGGTGCCAGTGGAGACCTAAAGTAATTGTTCTTTCTCATAGTTCAAACAATCATTTTGGATTAGATCTCAGAAAGCAGAAACCCAGAAAAAGATTAAATGCCTTCTTAAAACTGAACCATGGTTATAAGACAGGCAGTGAGGTATAAAATCAAAGACAAGGGAGTAATTCCAAATGGACTAGATGTAAACTCTGTGATGGCAAGTGTTCCCTCAAATCTTGTTCTTCACGCGTTTCTCTTCATTACTCTCAGGCTTTGCATCTGGTTAAGATAAACTAATTTGCATTGTTATTCAAAGCATAAAGATTTCAGCTTCCAAAAGTCACTGATATGTAAATATTTTGGGAGACCTTCCCTGGTTGTTCTCAAATCCTCTGAAATTTATGATTGCTGGCACTGACTGCAGCGACACTTAATGAGTTTAATGACGAGTGCAATCCAATGAGTCCAGCAGATGTTTCTGGGTTTGCTTCGCTGGGAGCTTTCTAGATTCTTCTTCCTTCTTTCCCAGGAATCAAGACCCAATTTTAGCAAAGTGCTGATGATCCAACCAGCAACAAGAAGACTGAAAAAAGTCTTCATCTCCACAATCCTTAAAACGTTCAGCATTGCAAATCTATAAGCAGCTGAGGTTTGGATGCTTATCGAAATTTCTTTAGCCTGGAAAACTGAAGGATGGGAAACTCGTACAATTGGCTCTCAATAGATTTGTGGTATTTCCTGAACTTGTTTGGCACAGAAATGTAATCTATCTCACAGTATTTTGGCACTGCCAACATGGAACCTGACAGTACAGAAATATGTAAGAAAGGACAACCTTTTCCAATAACAACAAACAAAACTTGCTTTGAGTTATGATTTTTTTTAAATTTCATTTAATTTATTTCTCTTTATATTTTGCATTTTTGCTATCCAGGGGTATTTGAATCACTTTACACTGCCACTAAATGTTAGCAGCACAGCTGAGGTTATGCAAAAAACAACCTTATAGCTTGGAGTCCCTTGCCTTCCTTCTGTTCAGTCAGGTAGAGGTGGGGGTGTTTTGAAAATGAACAAATGAACAGAAAGACAGGAATGGCAAGAAAAAGCCAGGAAAGTGCTTGCCACTTCTCTTTGGCCTTTTAACTCTGCAGACAGTTTAATTTTTGAACTATATTTTCTTCCCTGATTTCGATAAACCATACCTCACAATCCAGTACCTAAAACTCATAATGTTGGTAGTCATACATAGAGAATGTGAAGATAGCTTCATTTTCAGGTACCAGACCTATCAATGTAAAATACCATTAGATTAAGATGAAACAGCCTTCTTGCTGAAATTCAAGGCACTGCAAATAACCAAGAAACACTTGTCCTCACTTTCACATGTAAAGCAGCGTTATTTATTATTCGGGCAAGAAAATGATCATCTAGTGAATTACGTGATTTTTCTGTCTTTCCAGAACGTGGAGAACTCCACCAGAATGACCACCAGTCACACAGACTGTCATTACTGCCTGCAGTCTCTTCGTGGAAGGAAGTATGCATTAAGAGAAGAAAACGCTTATTGTGTTACATGTTATGACAGCCTGTTTGCCAACCCCTGTGAAGAGTGCAAGCAACCTATTGAGTGTGATTCCAAGGTAAAGATTTAGCTTTCACTTCTTGTTCTTTGCTAAATTACACACAAATCCCATTACTTCAATGGCAGATTCTGCATCCGACCCGACCCTCTGCATATCTCTGTACTAGTGAAGAGACCTGAGCAAAGCCATCATACATCCACCCAAAGCAGAGACAAACAGTGCTATTTTCCCAGAACAGGAACACTCCAGGGCCAAAGTTGAGGAAACCACTTTTAACATTGAAAATTAAGTAAGTGGCAGGACTACCCATCACTTACTTAAAGATCACTAACAAAAAGTTATGCCTTTGGACTGAGTGGAAGGTGTTCCAGAGCACTGGAACAGGCTGCCCAGAGAGGGTGTGGAGTCTCCTTCTCTGCAGACATTCAAAGCCCGCCTCGATGCGTTCCTGTGTGATTTGATCTAGGTGTTCCTGCTCTGGCAGGAGGATTGGACTTGATGATCTTTCAAGGTCCCTTCCAATCTCTAACATTCTGTGATTCTGTGAAAAACTGTGAGAAAAAAGCAGGAGTAACAAGAAAGGACTGCAACAGGCCAGACTCAGCTGGAACAGTCGCCCACAGAGATCTACAGCTGGTTGTCCCACCTCTGCCAAGGTCCTAGAGCTTGGCTCTCTTCCTCTCCTTCTTACCCAGTCTTTGACTTAGGCTTCTCTAAGGTGACAGCCCATTTTCTAAAAGATTCAGAGCGCTAACTAATGCAAATGAAAGTGGTAAGTGCTTAGCAGCTCCTGAAATGAAGCATGATAGGTATTTCATTTTTAGCACTTTTAAGTGTGAGGATCTGACAAAGGAGAAAAATGAGATTGGATTTGTGTCCTTCTGTGCTTCTTACTTATAAAGGAGACCTGGAACAGTCTGGTTTATTTGTTAAAGTGGGCGGGTTTTTGGTGGTGCATTTTTCCCTTGTTATTTTAACCCTGGAAAAATAAAATCTGCTGTTTGCTCTTTTTTTTTTAAATTCTTAGTGGAGGTCTCATACATATACTGTTAGCTTTTTCATTCCCTAAGCCTGTTGAGTCTTAAACAAATATTTGTCTGACGAGTTTTGACGAAGAGTTATATTAGGTGAAAACAACAGGAATTATTTTTTTAGTGATCTTCCTAAGAATAATTTTGTTCTCAATGAGATTTTAGTTGCTTGTTTTCTTCAATAATAGGACTTTTCTTTAGTGTTATGGATCGTCAACCTGAAGAAAACATACTAACGTTAAAAAATAGGTGAAGTTCATTTCAAAGTCTGTAGAGAATGCACTTCTTGTCAGGTGGCCTGTGCATACCAAAAATGTTGATCACTTGTTTCCCCCTGAAAGCCAACTGTAAAATATAAATGGTTCTTCCAATAAAAGCATATTTCTGATGTTACATAAGGAAGGACTATTGTGTGTGCCAAAGCAGCTCCTAATGGCCTCTGCAAGAGATCTACAAAATACCCTGACACAGCGACACTGAGTACTTACATCATCACCTCTGACCACACCTTCTGCCAGATACCCATCTCATCTCCTCACGTCCCCATTGCAATGCTGTCCATTTTTCACTTATTTCTGTGAGGAGCTGAGGGATAAAAACACTGTAAAGAAATGTCTTCACTAACATGGACTCACTTTCTCCAAGGATCTGGCCTACAAAGGCCGCCACTGGCATGAGGGGTGCTTCAAGTGTGCCAAATGCAGTCGCTCACTGGTGGAGAAACCGTTTGCTGCCAAGGACGAGCTCTTGCTGTGTACTGAATGCTACTCTGATGAGTATTCTTCTAAGTGTTTCCACTGCCAGAAGACCATTATGCCTGGTAAGATAACAGGGACCCTTCAGTGAAAAAAAATGGAACTGCATTTTTAATTGTATCCACATCCTTGAATAACTGGGCTGCAAGGTCCTTGACTTTCAGAATGGCTTTCGGGTGACCACTTCTCCTTTGTGTGTATGTAGTACCCTCCTGGCAGTGAAGAGAGGGCAGACTGTATCCCTGGTCTAGCACTGACAGGGCTTATGAATCCTTATAAAGAAGAGTTCAAGGTAGGGTAAAATGTGTTCATGTTGAGTCCTTGATTCTGTTGCAGTTCTTAGGAAGCATATCCCACTGTGAGCTTAGGCACATGATATTCTGTGTTTAAATCATTATCAGTCTTTTTACTAAAACGAATACAGGTACATTTGCGTTTACAGTAGGTTTACTTTCTGACATTAGCAACCTTGAAAATTCTGCACTTGCCACTAAACTGCTTCTCAGCCTTTGGTAGTGCCTGTTCAGGACATCCTCTAGGCCTTTCATTGTTACCACACCAATAAAGCTCATAAAGCAGAGAGCTTGCCTAAAAGCTGCCTCTTGAGAGGCATCTAAGAGAAGCCACAGCACCATATGTGGCAAAATGAAGTAGCATGCTTAGGAAATTAGGTCCCAACTTTTGGAACAGTGAACTAACCTCAATGCTTGACACTTTTTACAGATCACAAGTATAACTCCAAATACCAGCTGCAAACTATCTGCTGTGAGTCCTAGTTTGGGAACCTTTGGCCAAGGACATCAGTAAATTTGGCAGTGACATGGGAACCTTATTTTTCAGTAGATCTTAATGGCAAACAATAAGGTCTGGGCTGTGCAGAATTATTGTCTCAGTATAAATAGTAGGTTACTAATGTTGTGGTTCAACAGGTAGCATTGATGCAACTATGTACTTTTACAGTTTATTTCCTTTTCGTTACAGGTGAAAGCTGTATTAGTGGAAATCTATGTTATAACAATATAGTTGTGTTCAGTTTACAGATGATATACTGTTTAAATTTGATATATTTTTTAAAATGTTGTCTAATAGGCAACCTTACTAGATGTGGCAAGGATAGCACAATAATATAGTGGGATTTACATTCCTCCTTGCAGATTTTTCCCCAGAGTCTAGGAGACTAAATCCTTGCAGCAAGTGCCAAGGGTAGGAGTAACAGTGCAAATAGAGTACTGAAGTGGCATGGAGATACCAACCAGTTTCTAAGCCATTAACTTCTTTGTTATCACCTTGCTAGCTCTGTGTTGAAAAGACCCAGTAGACAAAGACAGTCAGCCTTCTGATCGCTGGGAGGAAGCTGCAAACCTTTTATGTTGAAACACAACCAGTATTTTCTCTCTCCACTAGCCCCACAGTCCAGGAAACAGGTATTGTGGGATTAATCAGTTATATCAGCAATTTTCTTCATGTGGAAAGGATGGTAAAGCACCTGGTACCTCTCTTTGCCATCTGATGCTACCAGTAGGGGAGGAACTTATAGTAGAGAGTCACTGGAAAAATTGTTCTCGAAGATATATATGTGCATATCTTAGACTTACACACCTACATGAAAGCGTACAGGGCAGCTGTACACAAAGCTAAGAGCTCTGAAACTCCTCTGGCAGACATTTAACTGAGTGATTTTCTTTTGGAATTGCATCTGCACTTTCACTGCATCAAAAGCACCTTGTTAAACACGATAAAAAGAACTGTTGATCGAGGACAGAAATGATGAGCTCTAAGAAGAGGCAGTGTAGTGTGCTTTATCACAGGAAAGGTATTTACTTTAAAAAAAATGCCAGCTTAAGCTGAATAGGATAAATATTGCATTTATAAGTGAAGGACCCTTAGTTTAAGGAAGACAAAAGACAGGACATTAATAGATGTACTAAACATCCAACAAATTCATTTATAAAAGTGCTGTGTACCTGAACATCATCACTGAATTGGCTGGCCTGAGAGAAACCCCGAGCAACTGAAGCATATCACAGAGAAGTAACGCTAAAAGATTCATGTAAGGATAGACTCTCAAAATCACAGCTTAGGCAATTTAGCACATCTTTTGCCAGGTGATCATATGGCACTGAATGTGTTCTTGAAATTTCAAGTACATGCTTAGAAACTCTATTAAATTGAGAATAAGTGCTTTCTTGGGTAATTCAATGCTAAGATAGAACATTAAAAACAAGAGGCTTCCCAACATTTAAAACTTGTGTTACAAGGCTTTATATGTATGGGGGAATTGTTCACTTTGGATTTTTGCAGGTTCGCGTAAAATGGAATTTAAGGGAAGTTCCTGGCATGAATCCTGTTTCGTTTGCCAGTATTGCCGGCAACCATTGGGAACAAAACCATTGATCACCAAAGACAATGAGAATTACTGCGTTCCCTGTTTTGAAAAGCAATTTGCTCACTATTGCTACTCTTGCAAAAAGGTAATTAAGTGTACAAGGGAAAAATTTCCCTAATGAGGCAATATTGCTCATCGGGGAAGGGGCTGGATTATATAAAATGTCTGGTGAACTAAGACAAACTAAGTAAGAGTATTGGTATTGGTATTGGATGCTCACAGCTAAATGTGTGCTGTCCCCTTCTAGTTAACATTAGTATAAACCTTATTATATTTGAAATAAATTTATTGACGAAAACAAACACTTCCATTTGCACTTTTTAACAAAGGTTGAAATTTCACTGAAAGTTACGTAAAACACTTCTTTCCTGGTCATATCTGATTTTGCCTTGATAAACATGCCTCCACTTCCAACATTTTTTAGATATATTCATATGCATAATAAGGCACCTAAGATAAGCAAAGCATTCCAGTCTTGCTGGTTTTTCTCTTGAAATGTATCAAACAATAGTCAGATTAAGTAATATTCAGTTGTGATAATACTAGTCAAAAACCCTGCTGTTTCAATACATGGTGCTTCCCCTGTGGGTACCAGAAAGCTTGATTTCAAATTAGTTTCTCTTTTTTTCCCCAAATACAAATAAATCAATTCATCCCTCTGTCAGTTTCTCATGTTTTAAAATTGTCTGACTGATGAAAATACTCAAAGTATCACACTAGTCTAGTGATACTGTTATCTAGGGAAATGTTTTAAGGTGCTTTTTGCAGCAGAATTTAACTTATTCTTTAGTACTTGTGTCACTCTGGAAGCAAATTTTTTTTCCCATTTATCAAATAACTTATAATTTCCAAAGTTATTTAATTTTTATCTGTAAACCTCTACCTCTAACAAAAACTTTTAATTTAAGAAAAATCTCCTGGCTGGTTTTTTTTTCCATAGTTAAACTTTAGAAGGTACTTTGATATATCCCCTTGTGTCTACGTCCAGCATTTAATTTGCATTAAATGATCACATGACAAATATAGTAATTCTGCTCTATGTTTATTAGGAGCACTGAGGTTAGCAGCGCTTATGTGAAATAAGCAAGATTTACTTCTTTAAAATTCTAGGAATTCAAAGAGTCCCCCTGCATAATAGCTAAAACAATCTTACTACTTAAACTTCCATCGGTTCTCATAAGTAAGAATTTAGCCCAAAGAGACTAAGTTGCCAAACTAGAGTCTTGAATGTTGTGCCAGAGATTTTGAGATTTTAATGGAAAAGCAAATGAGAGCTAGAAGTAGCCCAATACTGGAATGCTAAGTGGATCAGAAGCTATTTAATTTTTTTTTATTACCTGACATTATCCAGTATTATTCTTTATTTCCCTGAAACTGTATTCCTCAGGGAAGTTTGATGGTGCCGCTATTTTTACTTAATTAAGTTTCTCCAACTTTCCCTCCTCATGTTCCAACTGTATTAATTAATTCGTTTCATTCATTCATTCATTCATTCATTCACTGTTGTGCACACAACTTGACACTAGAAACACTATCTTACATCTCATCTTTATCTCTGCAGTCATTTCTCTATACAGTCTCTCACAACTTCTGGGAAACCATCTCTTTACCACACATATGGAAGCCATAGAGCAACTGGAAATTTCCCTCTTCAGAAATAACCAGTAGAGAGCTGTGAGTGAGTTGCAGGGAATGGAAGTTTGATGACACCCATAAACAACATTTTTTTCTTCTTTTGGCAGTGTAGATCTCCTTTCTGTCTCACTTCTGCGTCTTTACCGTCTCTTTCTTCCTACTTAAAATACTGTTTCAATTTTAAGACAGCAAAATACAAGTTCCATTTGGAGATTAGCCATAATCTCAGCATTGGTTCTCTCATTTGCTGTCCATCACTGAGAATTGCTCTTCTGAGAGCATGCCTGGTGCTAAGCCTCTCTCTGCATGTGTAACAGAAAAATTGCATAGCAAGCTAACCTGTTTATTGAAAAAAAAAAAAAAAAAAAAAAAGAGAATAACAAACCAGTGGCATGCTCAGCTCAACTGCAGTTGGTCAAATTGATATTCCAGATGAAAAACAGTTGACATAACCACACTCTCTACTCTTGTGCACATAGGAAGAGGGAAAAGAAGTGGAAGGGCTTGTGAAGGACTGGATAATCCTTCCAGATTCACAACTCTGTTTCATTGCTCTGTTCTCTTTGTCAATACGTTAGGTAATAACTTCTGGGGGAGTGACCTACCATGACCAGCCTTGGCATAAAGAATGCTTTGTGTGTGCTGGATGTAAAACCCAACTGTCTGGACAAAGATTTATTTCCAAAGATGAATATCCATACTGTGTAGACTGTTTCAGCAAATTGTATGCTAAGAAGTGTGCTGCTTGCAAGAAACCTATTACAGGTGAGTCCCGTCTTAGAAGGATCTAGACATTGATGAAACATCAGGCTTCTCTCAAATCAGACCTTTGCTTTAGAAAACAGCGTTAAAAACAGTCTCATCATAATGACAGACTCAGAAAGTTAACTACTAGAGGGAACTTAACTCCATCACACGTAACGTTGTGTCTTGCCAGGACATACTGATGACATATGTTCCCTGACTGCTGAGGAGCTGTTTTATGTGTCGAAATGAGTTCCTCTGATGTTTAATTTAGTGCTTTCTGCGCTAAAATTATCCCTAAGAATATATGAAAAGGCACTTTTTTGGCTCTTCCCAAGATGATGCACACAAGTTCCTTGCGTCTCTCATTTCTTCAGCTTTGTTTGTAACTCCAGATATGATCAAACTGGACACAAATTACCTGCCTGCTGACTAGGCACATGTGTCAAATTAGAAAGCTTGCCAAATGCAACAAAACTCTAGTACATACATCCTTTGTGTACCTAGATGTTTTATAATTAGACACCCAGATCACTAGTTTATGATAGCTGGAGTTTTCTTAGAGCATTTGCTGGTGTTCTGCATTGCAGTTCTATTATGTGTGGATTCAATTGTAACTGATTGTTACAGGTGCATCCTGCATATGTAAGCGGACAGATAAAATTATGAATATCTAATCAAACTGGCACAATTTTCCAAAAAAAACATGCCCACAAAAAACAACAACAACAACCACAACAACAACAACAACAACAACAAAGAAACCACCAATGTTTTATTTCAGATACTCATGCTAGGATGGAAGTCTGTGACCTGGTGATTTCCAAAAGATTCTATCCTGAAGAAACTTAGGTGGGAATAATTAAATTTCACAGAGTTTTGTGTAGAAACTATATGTATCAACAGATTGCAAATACTTTTCATGAGAGTTTGTTGGGAAGATCATCAACCGGAATGGACATTCTGATAAACCCATTCTGTTCAGAGTTCACAGTGGGATATGAAAACAAGCAAGTGACTTGTGAATTTGCTTAAAATATTTCTCACTGTATTTAAAGTTTTTTTAAATTCAGCCAACAAAGGATATTTCAGACCATGGATTTTTGTTCATTTGTTTGTTTGCTATATGAATGACAACCTGATCACACATCAGAAAACAATCTGTTGCATTTCTGAACCATGTCCGGAAATACTGGATTCACGTCTCTTTTCTCATAATCTCTTTCAGCTCTTGGAGGTGCCAAATTTGTCTCATTTGAAGAGCGCCAGTGGCACGGGGAATGCTTTAACTGTGCAAAATGCTCTGTCTCACTGGTGGGCCAAAGATTCCTCACTCGGCAGGATGATGTCCTTTGTCATGAATGTGGCCCTGCTTCATAGTTCCTTGAAGAGCTGTACAGCTGCGTTATTCTCGCTCTGTAACCATGTACTTCATTATTCTGCAGTAGAAAAATCATCTAAAATGTGTAACAGTTATTTAGTCATTCAAGTAACTTTCCAACAGCAGTTTAATTCTATCATAGTTCTCAACTGCTTGTAAAAAAATTTAAACAGCCCCATAATGGCTAAGAAAATAATGCAGAGAAGATTCGTATATATTTTAAATGTAACTACAGTATGTTTGACCTTGTAACACACTGCACTCTGCTGTTAGAAGCTTAAAAATGTACATTTCTTCTCCCACGAACCAAGCAGGATTGTGAAAAGTCTGTCTGGCCTGTGACTAATGATGAGGCGTTAGCATTGCTTCACAGGTGCAGACCTTGGTGTGAAAAGCTGCGCACGTGCGTGTTCCTATTGGGTCATAACATTGATGAGAACAACTTTTAAGTACCAACTTCCTCCATACTTTGGGAAAAAAAAACATGCTGACAAAGCAAGTAGAAAGTGGGAGGAAGGGTACTTTTGTGCAGAGGGCCACCGAGTCAGAGAGGCCCATTCTAGGGCCAAATAAAGGGAAAAGAGGCCATTTTCCTCTCTTTACTGAGATTGCTCCGCAGAAAACCTGAGTGACAGGTCCTTTCCCAAAATTGGTTGACTGCACTTAATTTTTTAGGCACATAGAACACAAATAAACCCCTGTTTTGAGCTACTGTAACAGGTGAGGATTGCCCAAGATTTGATAGCACTAATGTATGCTTTCCCATAGCCAATGTACCTGAAGACTCTGTCTCCATTGACCTTCAAATATACACATAAAATATAGTCTTTTCTTAGTAGAGAAAAGAGCCAACTCATACTTGTCCCTTTAACCTTGCACTTTCCTCCCCACAGAGCCCATTTGTCAGCAATCAAAATGCTGTTAATGGCCTTATCATTTCCACCCTGCTAGGTGGATCCACAGTCTACCCCTTTTCTTGTAAATGCCTGCTTGTCCACAGCAGGCTCTAAGCTCTTCAGAAACAACACCCGATTCATATTGCCATGCACCACATGCGTTTGCCAACATTATGTCAAGAACTGGTAATGTCATTGCAAGCTAGGCAGTCCTCGCTTGTAGTACAAGGTATTAGTTTCTAGGCTTTGAGAAGGTTATATCTGCTTGCTGAGCTTCAGAGCTTAAGTGTCTATTATTAAAGGTCACCCAGAGGTGAGTTACAAGCATTTCTCTTTTTACTCTTTCCATACTGTATGTTACAATGGCCTGGTTCATGTTACGGTGTCTGTACCAGGCTGTTGTGAACAGTGCAGTGACACTAAGATGGCAGATTCTGCACCACTCAGCACTGTTTTAGTCCTCATCTCGCACAGCTTTAAGTCTCCTTTAGACTCTGACCTTAAGTGCATGGAGTTATCTGGCTGTCTTGAGTGGGCTATATTCATACTGAAGCCAACCATTACTTTAGGCAGAAAAGTGAAAAGAAGAGGGGAAAAAAAAAAATGTGCATAGCTAAGCCAAAGCTGAACTGCAGTGGCATAAAATCAATATGGATAATGACTGACCAACAAGTACATGGCAGTCTGTTTTTCAGTCAATAAAATATTGATCTTTTGCTCTATGTAGTGTTCATTTTTGTTTTTCAGTTTCTTCTTTCATGGCAGCTTTTATTGCAGTCTGGAGTTTGATTAGTTTATGCCTTTCCATTTTATCCCAGCTGCCTTCTTTTCTGTTTTGACATTTCACATGGCTGATACAGGTTCCTGGTAAGACTTGGATTCCCATAAATAGAAATATGTTTCATTGCCTTAAATGTATACATATATATACACACCCATAAAGTGGTTCACAGTTATGTATCGTGTTCTAAAAATGAGCACGGAGTTATCAGAAATTAGCCCATTAGTAAATGTTAATTGTCTTAAATTTTTAAATTAAAATTATGAATCACCAGATGCAGGCTTGTCTGTGGAGTGTACCTTTTGTTTGTGTTGTGTGAAATAACATTCAGCAAATTGCAAGAATGTGATTTGGGTCCTTTATTCAATCTTGTCTGAACAATCTTACAGCTTAATTACAAACTGACGCAAGAATTACCAGGCAGAGTCCTGTGTCCTGTTTTCATGACAGAGTCACGGGTCAGACACACTGATCATGATAATCCCAATCTCCAAGCCTTAACATTTAGGAAAATGAAATTCTTCTCTGACTCATCAACTAATTACATTTTTAGAAATACCAAATGAATTATTTATTTCTCCTGCAGTAAATTCACTACAGTCAAATCTGAAACTGAGCATTTTCTCTTCAGAGTAATAATAAGAAATAAATGTGACTGCTATAAATAGTTTGAATAAAAGTTATGCTAAATATCAGATTGATATTTCCTAGACTCAGTCACCAGCTGCTGATGTATAGACGTAAATACACTAATGCTCTGCACAATTTGGGTCAGCTATGCTCATGTAGATGAAAGCCAACTTGAACAGGTGCAGAGAAGGGCTGCAAGAAGGAACAGTGTGTCTCTTTGGAGGGCTGTAGATTGTGGAGGGGATTAGATGGCTGCTCTAAGCCAAGAGGCTGCGTCTGGTTCAAGAGCAAAGGCAAGTAGACCACTCAGGACTGGTAACTGGAAATTAGAAAGCTGCTGTTGCTGAGCAGTGATGCTTCAGGAGAGCCTCTTTCCAGAACCAAGAGGGAAACAGCTATGCAGTCAGTTTAAAAGTGATGCTTGATCAGCGTGTTAAATGGTTGCCTGGGATAGCAAAGCACTGAGCAAAACGAACCAGATGGTCAGCTTCAGTCTTTGTTGCTAACATTTGATTTACTGCAGGATGATCAGGATACAGACTCCAGTGCAATTCAGTTTTCTTTAATAAATTTCAGAGGATGGAAGTTTGAGAGATCTATTTTTAAGTCAATCTTTTTTAATATCGTGTGCTTTTCTTTAGCATTGTACTGTTTTATTTTAAAATATGTCTAGTTCTTCCCCGGGTATTAGCTGCCCAGCTCTAAGGTAATCACATTGCTTTTGTTATGGTCAAGCTCAATTATCCTAAGGTACAGTGATGTCTCCAATGCCCTGATCACATCTCCACTGTACTCACCGTTATCCCAAGGGACTGGGAGGGATGCTGCCATTTGGGACTAACTTCTTAAGGGTGAAGTAGGTGCCCTATTACCTCCCTCAATGCTTAAGGCTAAAGTTTAAGTTCTTCAAACACTGCCTAATACCCAGAGAACTTCCAGAGATAACATGCTTAAAATACAAAGAGAAGCCCAGCAGTATCGGTATCAACTGACCCTTCTCTGCCCATATTTCACATTTTTCACTCTGAGACAAGTTCATATGGTGAAAGCAAGATATCAGCCTTTTCCTGGACTGCTACTTTTAAAATCCAGGCACGTTTTCAGTAGGTGTTGCAGCAGGCAACACACAGCAGCAGTAACTCAGAAACTCAGGATCACTCCCCAGCATTTCACAGGCAGAGTCTCATGCTCTGGATTCATGACAGGTCTATGATGAAACCCAGACACCCACCATTCTCTCTTTCTGTTCCCTGGTTTTCTGGAAAAAAAAATCTGTGAGCCCAGACTACGAAAGAACTAGGGCATAGTCTGGCCATATCAGTGTAGTGGGTGTCACATCAGGGTGTAGGTTTTCTGCAGTAACTCAGAACACACAAGTTCAACTGGTTCTTGAACTCTACTCATGGATATCATCCAAGGCTTTCCTCATGGTAAGAGTGGTTTGGTGCAACCACAGGAGCATTAGGAAGCGAGTGATAAGGTTTAGCTTCTGGACCTATGGTTTCAAACACTTCACGAGCCCCATCACAAGAGGGGAGGTACATGTTTATACCCCACTGAGTTGACCAGCAATTTCAGCACCTGGTCAGAATTTTATGAATCCCACTTGATTTAACGTGTAGGGTGATGTATTGTATTTTAGGAAGACAAGTAAAAACACAGTGACATTTATACAATTTATATCACTATCTGAAGGAAAGTAATGTTAAATGACTGCCTAAGTGGAAGCTGGGAGATCATTTCTGTAAACAAAAAAAGTTGGATGGGATTCAAGCCTATAGCCAGAACAAACTTGT